AAACGTGAAAATTACAGTTGCGTTGGTCTGAAAATAGCAACAAATCACGCCAAACACAACTTGGGCCCCATTGTGCTGGCTGTATGATAGGGTCCTTAATGTATTAAGGGCCCTAACATAAACCCAGTGCCAAGCACGTTATACGTAATATTTTTTTTTTTGTGCTATTTTCAGACCAGCGCCGCTATTATTTTTTACATTTTATACACATTTTAACTAATACTCCCCATAATCACTGCAATATTTAATATTTACAAACTTTTAAAAAAATGCACATATTCATCTCACTACATTGCACTGATTCTTTGAATTAATTTTGAATTGTACATACCCACCGTACATATACATTTGTAATTATGTTTATATCTATCTATATACCTCTGATTATTAATAGCAACCTACATATATTCATCTATTGTCAATCTCTGTTCATAGCTAATACAACCTGTATAATGTTGATGGTACATCCATCTGTAAAGATCACCATAGGTTTTCTATAATTGCACTTTATAATTTATACCTATATCCTGCACTTGCTGCTATTGCACTCATGGTTAGACCTAAACTGCATTTCGTTGCCTTGTACATGTGTAATCACAATAAAGTTAAACCTAATCTTATCTCATTTTGTGCAACTGAATTTAGAAACAGTTTTGAAACAAATCTTTGCGCTTAACAAATGAAATTAATTTGTAGGCTAATAGATATCTTCAAAGGAGTGCGTAAAGCACCGTTTCCTTATCCACGAAAGTAAAGGATTAAGTTAAAGAGTAAAAGGAAAGTAAAGAGGCCGAATGGAGGAGGCTCATTCTTTATCCTTTATCCTTGATCGTTTATTTAACTGTTTTCTCACTAATGAAGCTTTCAGTTTTGCCACTTACAAAGTTTACCATGTCAATAGCAAATGTGCGACACAACTTAGTCTTAAAGGCTCTAATATTCTAGATGTGAAAGTCACACTGATTTTTAAGATCACACTTAACATGATGCAATAAAGCGAGACGAATCTCAGACACTTTTCACTTCAAACTTAAAACGATTGATGAAGCACAGACCACAATGCAAAAACAATCGACACTATATAAAAAGCCTCTCTATGTGGTTTGTTCCTGCTGTAAATGGCTATAAAGAGATCATTATTTTGATTCATAAGCATCATCAAAATGTAAATTTTGCACCATTGTATTGGACTTTTAGAAGTAAAGTTGGAAATACTGTTAGCAATACATTCAGACCAGCGTTGATGTCTGCTGCTACCAATAAAAGTAGCTAATCCTGCTAGATGTAGCTAAGTCAGTGTTGATTATATCATTTACTCAATTTTAGAAAATAAAAGATGAATTATTAAGTACTGTTATTCTCAATAAATGCCCCAAAAGAAGAAAGTCGGGAAAGAAAAAATTTATATCTCAAAACAAGTAATCTTTCTCTCTGGTTTTAAGGATATTTCGATATTTCTACAAGAAAACAAGACAAGAATTAAGCCTACAGACTGGGAGATCATTTATTACACACATTTTACCAAAAAATATACACAACGTTCAGACATGGTAGCAAATCCTGTAGCAGTATTGAATAGAAAGTCTCCTGTATGCACACCATATATTGACATATATAGCCAGTGTTCATTAATATGATCTTTATAACTCATATCATAATCATCCCCCTGTCTAATCCTTCAAAAGTGAGATCTTGGGGTCTTTTTTAAAGTAACAAGGGAATAATCTGTGGATTTTACAGAAATGCTAAAGGGCTGTCTGTGCTATATTTAGCCATTTGCCTCATTAACAAATACACTCATTATTTTTTTGTTTGTATGTAGCAGACTTTTGTGTCACGACCCCCTGATACGTCACCGTCTAAGCAGACTTGTTTGTAACACTGAACTACACAGCAGGGCATTTACTGATTTAACCTCTAAACCTGTGGCATCATTACACACCACCACATGTTGAGTTGTTTTCAGGCCAAATCACCACAAATACAAACATTCTGCTTTTTATTTCTTTGCAACATCCGCTTTGTTATTTTCACATTTCTGTTTTTGTTGTATGTGCAGTGCAGTTATTATTAAATTAATAACACTCATTTCTCTGTGTCATTTTTTTAACCTGTACAAAATGTAAAATGAGAGTGTTTTAAAAAAACGAATGAGTTACTGGCTGCTTTCTACTCATTGTGTACAAAGAAATAAATTTTTATTTGTTATACAACTGGGTCTGCTTTGTCTTTCTTTTTAGATTATGGAATTTACAGAGTTCCCATGGGTCATTTATGCAATATTGTGAAAATCTGAGGTGACGTGGTGACGCAGTAGGTAGTGCTGTCGCCTCACAGCAAGAAGGTCGCTGGTTCGAATGAATGTGAAAATCTGAAATATTTATTCCAGACAATGAAAGTCAAGGATTTTTTTCAGAAGTCATGACATTATTGATTTATGTTTGATGTTTTAAACTCATTCATTCATTTTTCTTTGGCTTAGTCCCTTATTGATCAGGGTTTGCAACAGTGGAATGAATCGCCAAATATTCCCGCATAAGTTTTATGCAGAGGATGCCCTTCCAGCCGCAACCCAGTATTGGGAAAATTGTTTTAAATTGTACTTTCTATTTATCAAAATGTTTTTTGTTGCGATGTTTCACATTTGGCCTATTGTTAGTCTGTTTTTTTAGCGTCATTTTATTTCTTTGTTTACGGCAATCCAGACTGTTCCTGTTAAAATAATACATTGTTTTGTGCCTGCACTGCAAAAATGCTTTTCTTTCTTAGGTTTTTTGTCTTGTTTCTAGTCTAAATATCTAAAAATTCTTAAATCAAGAAGCATTTTTTCCTTAAAACAAGCAAAATACTCTGCCAATGAGGTAAGCAAAATAACATTTATAGATATATAATTGACATACAATTATTTTGCTTATCTCATTAGCATTTTGCTTGTTTTAAGGAAAAACTGACTTAATTTTGCCATATTTTTCTTAAAACAAGACAATATGGTTTGCTTGTCTAGATCAGTGTTTGCTACAGTAACCCTGTTCCTGAAGGCACACTAATGCTGCGGTCACACTAGAGCTTGAGCATGCGAAATTCTGTCATACGGCACTGGGAAAAGGGGTGGAACTAAACAAGATGATCAGACATTTAAAAAAAGCGAGCGATTGCTCTTAATTTTCAATTTCTGTTCAGAGAGGTCATGTTCTGATTTTTAATTGGTCTCGCACAGTCATGTGATGCAATTTCACAGATCAGAGTACACCAAGCTTGAACTCTGCAAAGCAGCAAACTGCGAAACTTGTTGCACAAGCTTGCGTTTCCGGTCTGCCGCATTCGCATGGGGCAGAAAAGTGCAATATGACTGCAGCTTTACAGTACACATTTTCAACCTCTCCCTAATCAAACTCCCTGAATCAACTCATCAGAACACAAGAAAAGACTCCAAAACCTGAAGGTAATGGGTCAGATAAGGGAGTCATCCAAAATATAAACTGTTGGTGTGCTTCCAGTAACAGAGTTGGGAAACACTGGTCTAGATAATGCTTCTTGATTTAGCTATTTTTAGATATTCAGACTAGAAACAAGACAAGAAAAATAAGTAAGAATAGCCTTTTTGTATTTCATTACTGACCTTATTTTGTAATTTGTAATTTGGATTTCTTCAAAAGGTTAGACTTCTGGTTTATTGGCCATTATGGGTAAATTACTAAGAGTAACAAATGTCAATAAACACATAAACTGCTTGTGATTCAACCAGTGAGTTTACTGTATTAAAATTAAATAATCTAATAGAAAAAACATCAATCAGGGTTGCGTTTCCCAAAACCATTGTTAGTCAACTGAGGTCGCAAGTTTGTCGTACAAAAATAGTTTGTTGATTTAACGTTTTCCAAATCTGTCGTTCCAACGAACATTCGCAAACTGCGTTCCAAACCTGTGCCCTTGCACGTCTGGAGCTGTAGTTAGAAACGTAGTTCCTGGCTGTGTTCTGTTCCCAGTTATCCCCCCTGTGCCATATTCATTAAGAACATTTAAACATAAGAACATTTAAACTTGGAATTATTCAAATAAAGCATTAAAGTCATCACTCTTAGCTATAATTTGCTTTCAAAGTATTTTTACAGTTCAGTTTTAGCGATCTTCATGTTTACAATTGCGCTCCCTTCGCAGTGCACTTTGAAAACATTCATGTCATTTTGAACAGCTGTGGCTCATGATGAAAGATATAGGTTATGTCTCTAAAGCTTGTGAAAACAAAAAACATAGCATACGTTAATACTTTTAATTTATAGTAGGTTATTTATTTAGTATCTGTATTGCACATGACATGGGCGTGCTAGTTAGAACATTTCTGCAGTGATTTGCATGTTTCAAGTTGTAAAACTAGACTTTTTAAAAAAAATCCTACATAATAATAATAATAATAATAATCATCATCATCATCATCATCATCAACATCTTCATCAGTAATATCATTAATATTATTATTAAAGTAGTTTTTTTCATTTCCTAATAAATAATAAATATTCAATTTCATTTCTTAATAAATAGCCTCATTATTTATTTATTTATACGATTTTTATATGATACTAGAATACGTGTTAACTTTAGTAAGTGATTTTATGTTGTAGAATAAAATATGTAATGTTCTCAATAATATTCGTAAAGGACACATATATAGGCCCTATGTGCCATTTACATATTTCAATTAATATGGAAAGCAAGTGCATGTTTTTACCAAAACTAATATTGGATTTTTTTCATGTGTGTAAAACAATATAATTTGCACAAAGAAATTAGGGAGTTCTTCTCTAAAGAAATTTTTACTCCACCCACTTTAGAGCATGATTATGGGCATTTTATGTTATAGCTACCGTGGATGGATCTGCAACAGAGAAACTAGTGGTTTTAGGAAACACTCTTCACTATATAATTCTTTCCCCAAACAATGCATCGTACTATGATGGTTCAGTTGCGAGTTACGTCATTGTTTGGGAAACGCACCCCAGCAAAACAAGTTTTTTTACAAGTTGTTTTATATGCCTAAAAATGAATGGAATTGAGTGAGACTGGAACCTTTACATTACAATGTCCACCCCGCTCCTACCTGAAAAATGGTGGATAGGTCATAAATATTCAGCTTTTTATTCAGAGAAAACTCTGAGAATTTGTCTTGGACTGGGAACCCTGGATCTAATATTGATCTCTATCCATCCATTTCCTTTGTCTGTTTGCTTTTAAGACTTTTGTTGTACTTCTCAGGCTTCGCTGTTTTCTCAGCTCCATTCTTCTCCATCTTAAATTCAGCAGCTGTGTTGCTCTCTTCGGTTTCATCATCATCACCACCAGCCGTGTCCATAAGTCTTTCTTCAGTTGTTGCTTCTTTGTCCGGCTTTGCAAGAGATTCTTGTTTTTCATCTGAGGTCTCCTCTTGGCCGTCATTTTCCTTCTTTGTAATGTCAGCGGTCAGCAGAGTTTCTGTGCCCTCACTATCGGTCTCTGATCTCTGTGTATCTCCCAACACCAAATCCCCGTCTTTATCTACAGCCGTATTATCAGCCTTTTCCTTTTCTTCTTTCAGGGTCGGAGAGCTCTCTTCCTGTCTGTTCTGGCAGTTCCCCTCTTCATCCTGTCCTTCATCTTTATTACCTGCTTTGTCCTCTGATTCACACGATCTTCCCATCTGTCCTTCCTCGTTTCTTTCAGACGTCTTATTCTCATCCGCCCATGTGACTCCTTTCTTCATCTTCTTCCCCCTTTTGCCCTGCGACTTCTTTTCCCACTTCTCCCGAGAGCTGCTCCAGTAGTTTTTATTTTCGGTGACGCTTTTCGCTCTGACTTTGTCCGCCAGTTTCACGATCTCCTGCTTGGCGATAGGTGCGAATTTGGGATCAAGTTGCATGACCCTATTAAAATCCTTGCGGGCCTCGTTTTCGTTGCATAATGCCGAGTGAGCTCGGGCCCTCTGGTACACAGCTTTCAGATTGTCTGTGGCGGGGATGAAAGTGAGAGAGTGAAGACCGGTCTTGCCACATCGCATTGGCTTCATGATAAATAATTCATGCGAAAGTAAACAACGGTTTTCGCTCTTTGCATTTGGGGATATCAAGGGATAATTCAATATGGTGAGTGATGCAACTGGCTTAGCTTCATGAATCCACTGAGAAAGTGAAGTATCTCTAGATGTGGCAGCTAAAAGGGAGAGTGTACATATGCTAACTGACATGAGCCTCTTTTTTTTACTATAACCAAGTAATTGGTTGGCTTGCGCTGGGCGGTGAAGCAACAGTCTGTCTTTGACGTGGACTGTGTTGTCTAAGGGTAGGTTTACACAACAACCAAGCACTAAAAATGGAGTTTGCTTTTTTGAAAAGATTTGTGTACAAATGATGACTGTACATCGACAAAATGATTCCTGTCCACACTGAATCAAGAAAACGACTTATAAAATGTTACTTGCATACCTATATACAGCGGGGGAAATAAATGTTAATGTTTTTTCCTGGAGATAATATTTCTAAAGGAGCTTTTGACATGGAATTGAACTAGATTTTGGTAAAAACCCAAACAATACAAACAAAATAAGAAGGTACTGAACCACTGAAATGTATTTAATTCTTTAAATAAAAGGCTTTTTTAATGATGGCAGCGAATATTCATTTACAACGATGATGGGCAGGGGGTTGCTGAACAACGTCTGAGAGATTTCAGCTGCTGTCTGGGCTTTCACTGCCCTTCTACAGCTCCCTTTCTTCATGTGTTCAATATTTTTCCCTGTGTCATTTCTTTTAATTACACAACTTCAGTTGTAAACTGATTAGATTTGTTTTGTTTTCATATATGGATTACTTTGGTTGCCATCAACATCTGGTGAAAATTTTCTTTAGATAAACGTTATCTGAGGAAAATGGTGACCTGTTCAATACTTATTTCCCCCACTGTATTTACAATGCAATGTCAAGGCAGTTCAAAACCTTTTGATTCAGTGGCTAATTTGTATGGATATGTTCAATCTCACTGCTACATTTTAGTATGATTTTCTCATCCCCCAATGATAGCCGTGTTCAGGGTGCGAATAATATTTTGACGATTGAGGAGAGGTCAACTTTTTCAGTAATGTTTGTGCAATGCATGCTTCAGTGAATCAAATTTGTGTATTTGTTTAAATAACATCTAATTCATTGTAATCCATGCTACTGAACCAAACCCAGTCTAAGCTGGGATTGAACTGGCGATTCTTGCATTCGAGTCAGTTGCTCAAAAAAGGAGGCTAAAGATCATTGCCTGTAGCGTCTATTGCTAGAGCACCTTTAGAGGTCAGAGGAGTGAGGACTACTTGCATAGCACTTCGCTGGATGGCCTCTGTTAAACTCAACATCCTAAATCTCACTTACATTCCTGATAAGCCCCCCCACATGTAACCCACTGGTGCTACTGCACCCAACTTAGTCTGACCTGGGATCGAACCGGCGAGTCTTTGCATTTGAGTCGGTTGCTCTAACAAGGAGGCTAAAGACCATGGCCTATATAGCATCTGTCGCTAGAGCACCTTTAGAGGTCAGAGGTTTACCTGCATAGCACTTCACTACAGGCCTCTGTTACAGTATTAATAAAACATATTTAAGTTTTCAGAATTTCAAGGGATAACTAATGTATTCTAACCTAAACCTCTGATTAGCCATTTTAGATGTTACAGTAGGTCAAGTTATATTAATAATTTATGAATTTTACTTTACTTTTGGGTTATATGCATATATAAACACCTATTTTATGAGAAAAAAAGTCTTGTTGTTAACACAATGTCTATTGGTGCTTTAGATCTGACAGTTTTTGGCACGAATATGCTTTCACAATGGTATGAACCATTATAGGAGACGTCAAATGTATCTGTTTATTAAGTCGTGATATATTGAATACTGTTTCCGGGTCATTTGAATTGAGAATATATTAGTTTATGACCACTTTTTAGTCATCTCACACATTTAAGTGAATTTTAAATAAAATTATGGTGTACACTACAGTCTCTGAACTTTCTGTATCACAGACACCAATATTTTAACGCTATATATATATATATATATATACACATACAGTTAAAGTCAGTATTAATATTGTCCCTGAATTATTGGCACCCCTGTTTATTTTTTTTCCCAATTTCTGTTTAACGGAGAGATTTTTCCAACACATTTCTAAACATAATAGTTTTAATAACTCATCTATAATAACTGATTTATTTTTTCTTTGCCATGATGACAGTAAATATTATTTGACTAGATATTTTTCAAGACACTTCTATACAGCTTAAAGTGACATTTAAATGCTTAACTAGGTTAATTAGGTTAGCTATGCAGGTTAGGGTAATTAGGCAAGTTATTGTATATAATGATGGTTTGTTCTGTTGACTATGGAAAAAAAATATACCTTAAAGGGGCTAATAAATTTTGACCTTAAAATGTTTTTTTAAACTGCTTTCATTCTAGCTGAAATAAAACCAATGAGACTTTCTCCAGAAGAAAAAATATTATCAAACATACTGTAAAAATGTCCTTGCTCAGTTAAACATCATTTGGGAAATATTTAAAAAAGAAAAACAAATCAAAGGAGGGCTAATAATTCTTGTAATTGTGATATTCAAAAGTATTACAGTGCTTTGTAAACGTTTATTATTAACATTTGTTGAGCCTCTACGTACAGTTTGATAGAGCGCTTGAACCCAGTAGCCGCTTTGCGCGACTTAATAAGCGGATATTCATATGATAACCTTTTAAAATTATTAATATTTAAGAGACAGAGACAGCTATTGTTTGCTATTAAAGTGCTGAATCCCCCTTACATCTTGTTTTGACGTCCTTGATGGGGAATAAAGCATTCACTAGAGGAGCCAAACCCTCTTGAAATTCGCACCCTGGTTGTGTTCACAGATAGAGTTTGGGGACACGTCTCCTAAAAATTTTAGCATTAATTACATTATATGAATTCGTATAAATTAGCCACTTTTCTGACAATACATAAAATAGTTTCCTCATGAGATCTGGCAGATACTTATCATTTAAAATGTTGTGTAAGCACACACTCGTTTATAAGAGTTTAGCTGTAACCCTAACTTAACACACCTGAACTTGTTAATCAAGGTTTTGGGGAGACTTTCAGCCAGGTGTGTTGAGGCTAAACCGTATAGTATAGGACTGAACACTCCTGGTCGATATCTATTTCTGCAGTGAATGAGTGTGTAAGCTCACCTTTATGTTTCTTCAGCAGTTTAGAGTTGAGCTCCACCACTTCTTCATATTCCCCAAGCTCCAGCTTACACTGACTGAGGTTTAGACAGAGTGGCAGACGGACTTTCTCCAGAGATTCCCAGTCTTCTCCTTTATGTTCCACCTCAAAAACACACAGAGAGATAGATATGGCTTAGTGAGCACTGGGTTCCTGATTCCCCGTGGGGGATTTTTTTTTAGCTCCATTGTCGTTTCTGCTAAGCAGTTTTTGGATCCCCGATGTACATGTCCTCTGGGATTTGAGTAGGTATATTTTTCATTTCATGCGTTCTGATGAAAATGCAACTGTTGCCAGAGTATTGTGTTGTTCCTATGTATGTTTGAATGTATAACCCATGTCTCTATGGTTTTATCCCTTGTCTGATCTAGGTCACTCAATTAAAAGTGAATGATTGATGAAAAGTGGTCACACACTTTTAAACAAGCCATGCATTTTAGGGTCAGAAGCTCTGAATTAATACTTATGATCAGAGGTTGTTTTTAACCCTACGTGGTGCTTGCATTAAAAACCACCACTTTGGCATAAGACTGATCTAAAATGAGGTAAGGGAATATTATAAACCTTATCAGCTTGGTTCATGAATATTTATAAGGAAGTTTTACATTTACCCATTAGTTCTCAGATGAGTGGGCATTAGCTATTTTAGATTACTGCAACCACTAAACTTTCAGTTAACTATCAAAGCAAGAGACATCTGCAAGGTATTAAATTTTATGTAGTCAGCTGGTTTCAACGTAAACATATTACAAGTTTCTCCCACCCAAAAAAAAAAAAAAAAGTGGTAGAAGTGTTTTAGTATCTTCTTTTAGGGCTGGGCGATTTGGCCCAAAATCTAAATCTTGATTAATTGAACATTTTAACTTTACGATTAATGAACAATTAATTAATTTATATAATTTATTTATTTATTAATTAATTAATTTATTTATTTTTTACTCTCACAGTTCACTGATAAGTTTCGTACAGTAAATATGCTCATTGCTCACATATTACCAGTGAGAGATTTCTGAATAAAGGGTGCTTTACTTGATTGTAAAATATTTGAAGGATCTATGAATATTTATTGAACATAACATTTCTTTTACTGAAATTAAAACACACATTGCCTAAAACCAACAGTCACTATTTTCTTAGAAAAAAGTGAAAACAAATAACTTTTGGAAACAAAATAAATGATTTTCAATGTTTTCAAAAGTAGAAAATAAGTAGGATCTCTTCTAAATTAAATAACTCTTGTAAATCCTGTAAATAATATTTTAATAGTGCATTTCTTGCATTTTCTGTAAACAAATATTTTGATGTAAATAATAATTTGAATGTTTTGGAAAATATACCGTCTTAAGGCATATCTGGCGCAGCTTTCAATCATCGTCAATGTAGTGCAAACGTGCGATGCGTGTATTTACATTTTTTGAGAGGTGTGCGAGTATTCGACCGCACAAAGCATGTGCCGAAAGCAGATGTATACATCAGCCTTAACAGAGCGGGGTCATGTGACTCCACACGCGGTAGGGGAAAAAATGAAAATGAAAAAATTGACCTGGAAAAATTTCATCGCTTATAGGTTATGAATGTCAATGTGAATTACTTTTCAATTAATCTTCTTTTGAATATGCAACCTTGGATAACAAAACCAGTCACAAGTGACAATTTTTGATAAATGAGACGTATGCGTCATCTGAAAGTTATAATAAATAAACAACCTTATCATATTTGTTTGGTTTGCTGGGATTGGACATAATTTGTCAAGCTACAACCATTCTAAAATCTAGAAATTGAGGGTTTAAAAATCTAAGTATTGAAAAAAAATTACCTTTAAATTTGTGCAGAATAAGTTGAATGCATATTACTAATCAAAACATAAGGTTTTATATATTTATTTACTTTCTTTATTGTCCACAAGTGGAAGCTTATCTTTGTCTTCACCACACAACCACATCAGCGTTCAAATTACACTTTTCACAGAAAAAACAGGCAACACAAATACATTCAATGCCATCACATAATTAAAACCCTATATACTTAAAACCCAGTATCTAAATTCCAATGGCAGTTGGCACAAAGAACATTTGATGAACATTGTTCTTCACTTTAGGCTACCTAAATTGTCTTTGTAATGGCAAGAGCTGAGATTTTATATTTGAAGGACGGTGTAGGAGCCATACATTGTATAGTAGCGTTTGGCCACAAGGTGTCAGTATGATAATATATAACTGTGGCTTCACTGAATTGAGGAGAGAGCGTTGGTAGGAAGCACAAAGTTTTTGACTTTTTCGTAGCGATGTTCCATTGCCGCTATTGTTGGTAGAGTAAGCAGGTTTTTCATAACTAAAGGTAACAAGAGTAGTGTAATATAGATGAAGGAATATTGCTGGAGAAAATCTGTTGATTGGAAAAAAGACGTTTTTATTTGCATCTAGGCAATGCAGTGGCACAATAGGCAGTGCTGTCGCCTCACAGCAAGAAGGTCGCTGGTTTGAGCCTCGGCTCAGCTGGCATTTCTGTGTGGAGTTTTCATGTTCTCCCTTCAAGTTTTCATGTTTGCACCCTGCGTCTGGGTGCTCCGGTTTCCCTCACAGTCCAAAGACATGCAGTACAGGTGAATTGGGTAGGCTAAATTGTCCATAGTGTATGAGTGTGTGTGTGTGTGTGTGAATGTGTGTGTGGATGTTTTCCAGAGATGGGTTGCATCTGGAAGAGCATTTGCTGTGTAAAAACGTGCTGGATAAGTTGGCGGTTCATTTCGCTGTGGCGACCCTGGATTAATTAAGGGACTAAGCCGACAAGAAAATGAATGAAGGAATGAATATTTGCATCTATTTCGCCTATGGACTTTTACGCATAAAAAACTTGCTAACTCTACAAAAGAGAGCGGAAATGGAAAGCCGCTACAGATGGGAACAATCTTCAATATTGACATGTGCTTTCTGTTTAATTCTCACTGAATAAATGTCATTTGGTTGCCTTTGTGCTTTACCTACAATTGCACTGGCAATTTTACTACTCGACATGGTTTGATGTATTTTATGGAAGGTAATTTACCAAATGTCTTCATGAAACATGATCTGTACTTAATATTTTAACGATTTTTAATCATTTTTGGCTATTCCCCAAACATACCTGTGCAACTTAAGACTTTTTTTTTTTTTTGAAGACTTTGTGGTCAATTATCACATATGAAAAAACAGCTGCATTTTCCAGAAGCACTGTTAGTCAGTGGCAACCAGAGTCATCAATGATGTCTGCAGTCATCTTAAGCTCGCACTGCGAAAATGCAGCCCTTTGTTATTTATTGTATTTTCCGCCAACAGACTCACCTTAGTTTGGAGATGATCTACATACTCCAGTGCATCCTTGAACTTGGCAGCCGCCTCAGCGTATTGGTGCTCTTTCACATTGAAATTGCCTTCATCCTGGAGCAGCATAATTAGCCGTAGCATCTGCTGCCAGTCCTTGCCTTCGGTCAGAGCTGTTATCCTGTGATTGGCCTCTACTGCAGACTCTTCACTTTTGGTGTCATGCTTATTTTCCTCAGCCACAGATGAATCCTTTCCCTGCTCGGCATCCTTGACCTCTTCAGAAGAGAGAGAATGTTCCCCATTGCTTTCTTCTTTTGTATTCATTGCAGAGATGTCCTCCTCTGAATCCCTTTCTTTCTCTCCCTTGCCCTCCAGGATGTTCCAGTATCTTTCTTTATCCTCACTGTATTTTTCCTTCATTCTCTCAGAGAGAAGATTTAGTTCTCTGTGCACCAATCTAGACAGGGTGATGTCCAAGTTGGCCACCATCTGGAAGTCTCTCCTGGCCTCCCGTTCACTCCACACAGCCGCATAGGCCTTTGCTCGCTTGTAGTAGGCTTTGACACAATCTGGAAAAGACCAATAATAAGACTGTAATGTGTAACCTTTCATGTTACTTATGCCTTGTTTCTACTAAGTGGTACAGTTCAGTTTAGGTTTAGTATCTTTTACTATGGGTTACCCTGATCAGGCTTACCAACAGGACCTTTACTTGGTAAGAAGTAAATTTTAATGTTAATCTTACTTGAAGAAGAAAGCTGTGGGGGTCATTCACATATTGCATCTTTTGTAACTTTCTTTCATATGTAGACACACACTTGAGAGGAAGCAGCAACGTTTATGCTTTCCACAAGTTTGTAGATGTAAACAACAATAGAGGACATACAGCCAGTGTTGGGCAATAACGTATTACTAGTAATATGTTACTGTAACAGCATTACTTTTGACAGTAACTAATATTGTAACGCATTACTTTTTAAATATAGTAACTTCGTTATCGTTACAATATGATGCACTTGTCCGTTACTTGGTAAGTTAATTAATTTTGGCTGCAGTCTAGCCCTCATCTTCCTGTTAACAACATCAACGCATTGTGGAATTGGTGGATGCCAACTAACCACCGTAAAGAAGACACATCATATATGAGGTGCCAGGCTGGACAAAAGTCAAGCGAAAACAGAAATAGAATGCATGCGAGGTACACTAAGTGTGGCACAAGAGAGGCCAACTGTGCTCGCGAAAGAGACAGAATGCACGCGGGGTAGACCGAGTGTACACACGCGAGAGATTATTAACGTTACTATTATTAATTACTATTACTAATACTACTATGTTTGTTGTTTCAAATTAATAAGCACACTTTGTTATCTGTATAACAAAATTGATTAGTTTAGTAGGCACAGTAGAATTTAGTTGTGAATCTAGCTCCATCCAGTTGGTACTGTACTGTTATGCTAGGTACCCTTTTGGGAAGGGTGCCAAAGAATTGGTATAGTACTATTCGCCATTTTAGTACTTTTTTTATATTATATTTTTATTTTGACCCTAAAGCAATACAGAGGAATACAAAAAGCACCAACAACTATAAAGACAGAAAAGAAAAGGGAAATAAGCACACATTTGTTATCTGTATAACAAAATTGATTAGTTTAGTAGGCACAGTGACACATTTCTGTTATATTTCAAACACGTTCTTTAAAATGTACAGTCTTGTACTGCTCAAATAAAATGCTGTGATTTATTTATTTATTTTTTATTTTTGCATATTTTTATTTTTGTTATACAACAGCAGATTTTGCACTTTGAATATACACAGCTTACTTTCCATATGTTGTTGATGTACCACATTTAATTTGTGGTTAGTTTGAAAATTGCTCAAAGATTTAATTTTTGAGCAGCTGTTATGTTTTTGTTTTAATTAAAATGCATCAAATTTATAGTTGTATATAACAGCAGTTTTTTTGGTGCTGATTTTTTTGGTGCTGATAATTCAGACTACGTTCATTTGTTTATTTCATAAAGGTTTTGTGTTTGTTGTATATTGTTGCTACAGTAGTTTTCATACTCAAGGTGTGAAGGAACATGTTTAAGGGTTAATGCAACAACTTTTATGATGCTGAAGCAACTTTAGTTGTTTTTTTGTTTGTGAATATATTATTCAGCTGGTTTATCACCTTGTGATGTTTTTTTATTTTTGTGCTGCTGGTCTGACTTACATAAATTAGTGTTTAAAAATGACTTTATTTAAGTTTGACTTGTGTTTTACTTGTGAGAATGCAGATTGATTAAAACTGTGAAGCTGATCAACAGTGTATTCTTCATGCAGCACTGAAATGATGTATAAGGCATTAATGGGTTTTGGAAAAGTAACTTAATGTAACAGTAATGCATTATTTTTGATGTAAGTACTTTTTGAATGAAGTAACTAACTGCAACTAGTTACTATAATTCAGTAACTAGCACAACACTGCATACAGCAAATTCTGTTTTTGCTACTCGACATGTAGTTGTTTGTTAAAAGAAGATGACAAGTTTTGTTTGACCATGACTCATTGGTAAACTTCATATTTTATAATTACAGTGTCATGTCTCAGCTGTGTATTTAAAAATGCCACTACCTGTGTTGTTGCACAAGCATTGATGACTACTCTCCATAAACCAATAGAATTTAATTGTGAATCTAGCTCCATCCAGTTTGTACTGTACTGTTGTGCTTAGGTAACCTTTTGAAAAGGGTGCCAAAGAATTGCCTTATATTTTTATTTGATTTTTTTAGCTACTACCATTCCATATTGGAGAGCTGTTTTCATTTGATGACTGAACCCATGAGGTGAGTCAGACCAACCAAGAACAGTGTTGCTAGAATCACAAGGTCACAAGAATAAGCCTTAGAGTAGAATCTAAAAATGTGTTACATTTAGATGAGATGGAGGGGTAGAATTTGTTAAGCTTAACTCTAGAATAATGAAGCCAATGTACTACTTTATATTGGATTAGTTGGTGTCCAAGAGAGTTAATAGAACATGTATTTATGACATTGATAGAGATTTTCAGTCCTCATTGAATATTTGAAGGACTAAATCTTTGCAGAAATCTTTCAAATACAAGGTAGATACACCCACTTTGAATATTAACACTCGATTGAATAGGCACTATCAGTGGTTATCAGCGGATAGATATGGGCTAGTAGGGGCCTTCTGCGCCTTCTGGTTGGCTCTGAAAGCTGTTATCATCCATGGTTAATCAGCTATACTAATCGAGGAGACTCCAGATCTGTTTTTAAATTAATATGGCGGTTGGGTTTAGGGTTTGGGTAGAAGTAGACTTTAATAAAATACAATTAATCTGAAATTTAATAAATAATATATTTAATTCTCGTTAACTTCTGGCCACAGCTATATGTGATCTTTAGCTGATTCGAATGTTATCACTCAACTGAATGGGCGCTATCAGTGGTTATCAGCTAATAGATATGGGCCAGTAGGGGCCTTCTGCGCCTACTGGTAGGCTCAGATGGCTGTTTTCATTCCTCTACGTGGTTAATCAGCTATATATCACATATAGCTGTGGCCAGAAGTTAACGAGAATTAAATATATTATTTATTAAATTTCTGATTAATTGTATTTTATTAAAGTCTACTTCTACCCAAACCCTAAACCCAACCGCCATATTAATTTAAAAACAGATCTGGAGTCTCCTTGATTAGTATAGCTGATTAACCACGTAGAGGAATGAAAACAGCCATCTGAGCCTACCAGTAGGCGCAGAAGGCCCCTACTGGCCCATATCTATTAGCTGATAACCACTGATAACGCCCATTCAGTTGAGTGATAACATTCGAATCGGCTGGTGGATAAGTCAAACTGATCAGTAAAACATCTATAAACTGGGATATCAGGTTAAAGCCTAAGTGATTTATATCTATCATGTTCATCTGCTAATAGTTCAAAGTTAGAGATAGTTTCTCGGCTGTAGATGTCTAAAAAATGTTATGGTAAAACATGAACTTTATGTTTCAGCTAAATTTTGATACTATGACAATGGAAATAGACATAAATGCACATTGTACTGAACCACATTGCTCAGTGGAATCGGGCCATCACAGGCTGCACAGTTTTTCTGTACCTTTGTGTGCTCATATATATGCATTTTCAATGATTTGCTTCCATTTTATGGAAAAAGGAGCACTGCCACACATACACTGTTGTTTTAACTCAAGCTGGACACTAAGTACACACACCTAATCTTTGCTCTGAGTGGGCTCGAGAGCCTGGTTAAAGATTCCCCATCGTCAGCTCTCCCTATCTTTCATTTGCTCAAGCTCTTCTCTAAATCTTTCACTCAGCCAACATTTAAACAGACTTCCCCGAGCCAATGTCAGCCCGTGGCAAAAACAAAGCAGATTTTTGTGAACCCATTTCTAAAGGATGTGCTCCCCAGGTGATACACAAGAGAAATAGTAAAGAGAGCAAAGACGGAAGATTTGAACCGAAACAGACAACAAGGTACAGGTTACACATGGGGTGCACCAGAATGAAATGAAGCCTGGGAATTAAAGGGGATGGGAAAATGGGAGAAAGTGTCCTCGATAAGAGGAACCGCAGGAGGCCAAAGTCACTGCGCCGGCTGCATATGCATAAGGCTCATTAGGAGAGCTACCCACGCTGCCTCTGGAGTCACTGCGAGAGACGATACATCTGTCACTTCAGATGCTTCAAGAGGGCTTACGCAGACCAACTCCTGTCCCTACTGCTCATGCAGCCAGCCAAGCTTAAACAAACCCAAACCACAGCGGATGAAGATTACTATGCAGGCTGCCAAGTACAATTACGAAAGTGTACGCAATTGGATTATTCATGATACTCAAAAAAGCAGAGAGCAAAACTGAGGATGGTGGTCAGTAAAGTTATATGGAATGGCCTATATTCATATTAAAGAGCCCCTATTAAGGGTTTTTGAAAACGACCTTCTATGTAGTGTGTAACACAGCACTAAGTGACTGAAAACATCCAGCTGAGGTTTAAATCCGAAAGTGCGCAGTGTTAAAAACTATTGATTCTTTAACGGAATAGTCAACTCAGAGTCGAATAAATGAATCGAGTTGGCATTGGGGTATTTTGCCTGAACGCGTCAATGTCGATACAGTATATCACCAAATATGTAGTGCTGGTTCTGATAAAACATGAACGCGCCTTTCCCTCAGACACTAGCGGAGTGCGGGGGATCATGGGACTGATCATGACATGAAGATGACGATCACTGACAGATGGAGATTCGGCTGCAAGGAATAAAGTGTTAAAGTTTATTTTCACAACAATACCACAGTATAGCCAACCTAGTGCTGCGTTTGCTCCTGTAATTTTTCAGATTTTTGATACAATAACCTACGCTGCAACTCTGGATTTACTTTACCATTTACTGTTAAAGGAAGGTGCAGCAAAGACTAATATTTACAGTATTCAACTTATTCTTAGCCGACGAGCGGGCGCAGCCATTTTAATTTTTTGGCTCGAGACTTCCGGTCTTATTCACTTCCATTCATTTTTAGACAATAAAAACCGCTACTAA